GGCCCAGCACCGCTCCCGTCCCAGCGGAGCCGGTGGGAACCCTCAGCCCCGGGGAGGCAGATGGGGACAAAGCCCCGCCGAGTTTAGAGCTTTGTCCTTCGAAGCAGCCCAGACTTCTCAGTGCCCGCAAGGTATTTCGTTTTTGAAACTGTTTTCCTGTCCATCGCCGGACACCGGTGCGTCCCGGCCGGTGACAAAGCTTTGTCACATCAAAGTCTCTTGGGTCGTTTAATTCTCCGTCCCTAAAAAGTCACCGTATAGCTCTCGCCCTGAGTGCGTTCCCCACGGAAATGTAACGAACAAGCGCCTTGGGGGTTACCTGGACGCGTAAAAAAACTTTTTCTGGAGAGCAGAAAATCGGCGGGTCCGAAACAAGCGCGAATAACGCGACCGCTGCCCGGGGACGGGGAGAGGGCGACGGGAAGGTCGGAGAATTCCCCCATCGCTGTGTCTTCACCAGCGAACTCAGCATAGTTACAAGCAAAAAAAAAAAAAAAAAAAAGCAGTTACAGGCAGGGTAAAATTAAAGCTTTTCATTTATCTGCCCAGCTCCCAGCTTTCGCTTCAGCCGGGGGGCAAAAACACTTCCAGCACCCGAGGTGCAAGAACCAGCTGAATTGTCAGATTCCAGGCACGGAGCCCAGGGCAGGAGGGGAAACTCCAGGGAGGCATTTGCTGTCCAAATCCTCCTGCCCAAGTCGCCGACGGAGGCGGAAAGAGGCGACCGGGCCAGCCCCGGGAGTTTGGGCTGGGGTGCCCAAACCCAAAGAGCTCCGGGGAGGTTTACCCGGGGCTCTGCATCAATTGTCCTGAAATAAAGAGAAACGCTCTGGTGCTGTGCCCTGCAGCATCCGCACTCTCCCTGCGGTTTGCACGGAGGGAAGGGGCACGATTATTTCCTGAATACTCTGAATATTTCCTGATCTGGGAGCCGGCAGCGGTGGCAGGGGTCACCTCGCTGCCCTGGTTCCGGCCCCGCCGCCCGGTACCGGGGCTGTCCCGGAGGAAGCCCCGGGCTCGCAGAGCAGCGGTCCCGAGCACCGGGCCCCTTTCCAAGGCCGGCTTCACATCAAGGTCCGAACTCTTTTTGATGGCTGGAAAAAGCGAGCTTCTTTAGAGCTTGAAAGGAGCGGGGAGAAACAAGAGAATAAGAAAACAATTTTTTTAAATGGGGAAAATTAAAGGGAGTAAAAAAAAGATATGAAGAAAAGGAGGTTTTAGCTGCGGCGGAGTGGAGTGCCTGGACAGCTCCAAACCCTTTTCCGCCTGCAGAATTCGAGAAGAGTGAAAGCAAAACCTTCCCTGGCCCCAGCCGCCCCCAGTGTCCCCCAAACGCCCTCCTGGACCCTCGGTGGACCCCGACACCCCCGGCAGCACCGCGATCCCGCCAGCAGGATTGATCCACCCAGCGCTCGCCGGGTCGCAGCACCGCTTCCCAATGGCTTGGAAAGAATTACTGCCCAAAAATCTCTGGGGAGCCCTCGGGGAGCCGCAGAGATCCCGGGGTCCCGGAGGCTCCCGGCGCCACGGTGGGAACCGGGAGATTGGCACCGGTTCTCGCCAGGAAACCCTAATAGGCTATTTCTGGACTACTGGCTCTTAACAAATCTATAGCACCTGAAGTGTTAGCACTCAATTAGTGACAAGGTTTCAAACCCCAGCGTTTACTGGCGAGGTATAAACAGAGTCCTCGGGAGATAGCTGGGAATTAGAACGGGAGGGGGCCCTGGACATCTTAACCGACTGGGATTAAGAGGAAAACTTTTTTAAAAGGTACCATCTCTCTCTCTAAACAGTCCGAGGTGTCGAAAGCTCAGAGGGAGAGAGGATGTGCCCTCTGGAGCTAATTGCGGGGTTGGGAATTTTTCTCTTTGTTTGGGTGGTTTCAGCAAGAAAAGGTTTTTTTTTGTGTCTTTTTTTTTTTTTTCTTGAGAAAAAATAGCACACAAAAAGATAATACTAAATCACACTAAACACTAATCACATCTAGCAATCCCGGAGAGAAGCAAGGAGCGGGTGTGGACGACAACCCTCGCCTGCGAGAGGCCAGGGCAGGCTCAGTCCCGAGGGGGCAGCGAGAGCAACCTGCAAACAGCGTGAAGCCATCGGGGACAGAACGGGACACCCCCACTTCCCCCTGACAGCCAGAAAAATAGCAGCGAGTTTTTCACCCTATCTCCCCCACTGATACCCCCGGGGCCTCGGTCTGCAGAAAGTGTTTCGGTGTCCCTGGCCCTCTTTACCCTTTTAAATTTTTTTAAAAAAATTTTAAAGTATTATTTAAAAGCGATCAAAAACGAGTCCGCAAAAGTTACAAAGTGATGCGGCAGAGTTCGGGGTCCCCACCCACGGCTCCACCGGGACACCCGGGCAGGTCCCCCCGGGCTGGGCAGGACCCTGCGGGCTGCGAGAAGTGTCCGGAGCTGGGGGAAGCTGGGGTCACCTTTGTCCCTTCCGCTGGACAGCCCGAGCCTGGCTTCAGCGGGCTGCTGGAGAGCCCCGGGAAAGGGAAAAAGGGGGTGGGAAAGGGGGGAGGAATGGGTGCTGAGCCCCGACCCGGAAAGTCCGTGAGCTGCTGTATGTCAGTAACTTATTCATCAATCAGCCGGACACAGAGCAGACCTGGCCTCTCTTTGCCGAGTGTTTGCTTTTTCACCAATTATTGCGGCCCTGCAGCTCTTTTTGTTGATACAGTAGTTCTAAAAAGTGCTAATGTTCATTTATCAGGGGGCCGAGCCCGGGACTCCCACTAGTTGTGATTCTTCCAAAAATATAAACACGAAGAGAAGGGCTAAGGCTAAAGCCCCCATTTGTTTCTAAACTGCAGTATTAAAAGTGATGCATTGTTGAAGATAAAGCGGAGATAACGCTGTCTGTCTCCAATGAATGTCTCCCCGACGCATTAATGACATTCCAAATGATAGCTCCGGCTTATCGTTCAATTAATCACTTCCACCCTCTGCAGCCGGGCCCACATCGATCGGCAGCCGCCGTGTGACCGGGGGGCTGCAGGGAGCCGGGCAATCCTCAATTAATCCCGGATTGTCGGCTCGCACCTCCCGCTCCCCGGGATGCGCTCCGGGCCCAGGCCGGACCCCGCCGGGGAAACCTCCGGGACAGGAACTTCCCTGCGAGCTCCAAGCCTGGCCTGGGAAGGGCGTTTTGGCCCGGGATAAAGGAAGGGAGGGCTGGAAGCCCTTTCTCCCATCCCCTAGGATGGGGATGCGGCTCTGAGTTTGGGGAGGATCGGCATCACTTGGTTGTTTTAGCCTGTATCTAACCTATCCCTATAAGCTTGCAATAAAAAGCAGGCGACGAGGTTAAGAAAGCCCGTGGGGAGCCAGAGGTGCCGCAAACACTCTGCAAAGTCCCTCCACAGGCCCCTCTCCCGAGGCTGCCTTCACATTCCCCGAGCACTTCACCCTTTCTCCTGCGACAGAGCAGCATCCATCCCCTGGAGTTATTTCCCGGGGCAGTCTGCAGGAAACGCAGCCGCGAAGATCGAGCTGGCCGCTTGGCCGACCCCTCCCCTCTCCATTAAACCGCAATATTTCAGTCCTCCCCGCTCACGGGGATCGCTCCGACTGTCATCGCCAGATCCGGGGCTGGTTCGCCAACAAAGCGCTCCCAGCACAGCCACGGGCTGCGAGCGCCGGGGATGCTGCAGCTCTGGGCAGCACCGCCAGCAAAAATATCCAGAATTAAACTCCCCGGCAGACAGCCCGGGGTGTCGAGACATAAAATCTCGGGGGTCCGTCCTGCTGGGGGTGGGCGGGTGCTCACCTTTCCAGCCGGCCCGGAGGGTCCCTTCCTGAGGGAGGAGAAAGGATTGACACGCTGTGACCCCGAGAGTGGAGCTCAGCCAAGGGCCCCCCAAACTCACCGCATCCCTTCAGGGTTTCTCTGCTCTGCTCCCACCGAGCCTCTCTCAGGCGGGCGCTGGAGCGCTAAAGGAGATTCTTTATTTATTCTTAATTTTTTTCTCGCCCCCCCAGCCCACAAAGCAGCGAAGCGCCCCTCTGCAGCATGCGGCTTTGCAGCTAAGGTTTATTTTAGCGGCTCCATGCGAGTTAAATGAATGAGCCCCACCTCTGCCCCATGAACCCGGGGCCCTGCACCCACCCAGCCGGGGACAGTGAAGCCCCTTCCTTTACTTACTCCTCTCTTACCCCTGGATATTTTGCAACACCTTCACCCGCTCCTGTTTTGGTTGATTTTAATTTTTTTTCCTTCAGACAGTGCTGCTTTTTTTGTTTGAAAGCTTTACAAACAAACGAGAGGAAAACCCGGTCGACATTTCTCTCTCCAAAGCCCTGAGTGGCTGCTCAGGGTCTCTCTCCTGTCAACTGGACTTTGCAATCACTGTGGTGCTTCAGAATATCTGTATAAACCCTGAGCGCGGATTTCCCCTTGAGCGCTTCACACAGCACTGAACTCCCGTTTTTGAGTTCCTGCCATCGGACATTGCAGAATACTAAAAACGAAACCTCCGTTCTCGCTCTTAAAAAAAAATATTAAATCAGCACATATTTGGTTAATGGTTTCCTCCCGGCCTGTTTATTTAATCTGACTGTATGATAGATAGAGTCAGATAGTGACTTTGTACGCATTCGGCCATTCTTTTTTTTTGTTTTGTTTCAAATGGATGAACAAACCCGCCGCTGCAAAGCTGGATAAATGCAGTGCCGCCCCTTTAAAAGAGCGGAGCTGTTTTTGAGATGTATTACTATATTAGGTGACATGGAACTTTGCATCTCTCATACCATCACCGCAATGTTGGCCAATAGAAAGCTAAAGTCACCCAAAAACTGCCTAGTCCCTCCTTCCCTCGCCTTATGGTCCGCTCGTACCTGCCCGCAGTGCACAAGTCAGGGCTACACTCTCGGGAATGCTATGTGCCCCCTCCGGGAGCCCACGCTCCACCACTGCTCCACCTTGGCTGCTCCCCACCTACTTTTCCATGACCCTGGGCTGCGGCCGCTGCCCCGCTGTCCTCCGCAATGTTTCCTAGCCCTGTGACAACCACCCCGTTCTCGGTGAAGGATATTCTGAACCTGGAGCAGCAGCAGCAGAGCGGCCTGGGCTCCATGGAGCTGGCGTCGCTGGCCTCGCCGAGCTGCATGCTGGCCACCTTCAAGCAGGAGGCGTTCGGTGCCGAGCCCCCCGCCCTGCCCGACCTGCGGGAGGAGCTGCCCGAGCCTCCCCCCAGCAAAAGCACGGCCGCCTTCCCCGGCTCCTACTACGTGAAAAGCTACGTGGAGATGGACTCGGCCAAGGAGGCCAAGGCGGATAAGAAAGGTAAAGCCAAGAGGGGCTCGGAGGAAAAGGGAGGGCAGGGGGATGGTGATCCCCGAGCGGGGACAGCGGGGGACAGGGGACAGCGCGGGGTTGCTCTCGCTGAGCCGCAGCATCTTTATCCCTGCCGGGCCCTGCGCTGCAGGAGCGGGGCTGAGCCGAACGAGGGTCCCGCTGAGCCCGGCTCAGAGACACCCCCAGGGCTGTGCCCCTGCCCAAGGGGACGGGCAGAGCTGCAGGGTGACACTCTTCGAGTTTGGACAGGAACCGGATGACAAATAGGATTCTTGACTCGCTCGGGGGTCGGGGTGGGTTTCAGCACAAAGCTAGGTGCGATAAATCCAGGCTGGGGCACAGGCGGGCGAGACTCACATCAGTGCACGGGGCACCGCTGTTTTCAAACAAACAAACAAAAAAAGACGGAAAATTTGCTGAAGAGGCACCTAAATAGCGTGGCAGGGCCGGTCTCGTTGCTGCAGGAGCAGGCCGAGGAAGAGCCAGGATTCGCCCGCTCTTGTTGTACCCTCTTTATTAAATACTGATTTTAAATTTTTTTTGCACAATTTTTTCCTCCTCCATTTTTCCCTCGCCCGTTTATTTTGCTGCAGAGCTGTGCTCCCTACACAAGAGCCTGGAGCAGGAGAAAAGAGACCTGGAAGATCCCGAGCGCCCCAGACAGCGGAAAAGGAGGAAACCTCGCGTCCTCTTTTCTCAAGCCCAAGTGTACGAACTGGAGAGAAGGTTCAAGCAGCAGAAATACCTCTCGGCCCCCGAGAGGGACCATCTAGCGAACGTCCTAAAGCTCACCTCCACGCAGGTGAAAATTTGGTTCCAGAATCGAAGGTACAAATGCAAAAGGCAGAGGCAGGACCAGACGCTGGAAATGGTGGGGATCCCTCCCCCGCGGCGGATCGCGGTGCCGGTGCTGGTGCGCGATGGGAAGCCCTGCCTGGGGGAATCTTCCCCTTACAGCTCGCCCTACAATGTCAGCATTAACCCCTACAGCTACAACGCCTACCCCGCGTACACCAACTACAACAACGCCTGCAACGCCAACTACAACTGCAACTACCCCTCCATGCAGCCCATGCAGCCCTCGGCGCCCGCCAACAACTTCATGAACTTCAGCGTGGGGGACTTGAATTCGGTGCAAACGCCCATCCCGCAGGGCAACGCGGGCATCTCCACCTTGCACGGCATCCGAGCCTGGTAGAGCCAAGCCGGGGATGGGGATGGACGGGCTGCGGCCGCGCCTGCGAGCCGGGCTCGGGACATTTCCAGGCTGCGGGGCTTGAGGAGGGTTCAGTGGAGCATCCCCGAGGATCTCACGAGTGTGGTGGCCATGGACGGGGCGGGTTTGGGTTGTTTCGTGCGGGGCCAGGCAGGCACCGGCGGGGGATGCCCGCATTTCCCGGCCCCTCTCGCTTCCCTTCCACCCGGGTCTTCACCCTGATAATTCCCCTCCTTCCTTCCTACAAACCAGTCGGTAATTTCGCGTGACTTGTTCCCAACAGCACCCAGCCAAGCCCTACAACTCTCTTTTTTTTTTTTTTTAAACTTTTACTCTATACTAATTATTATTGACATCCACATTTAATTTTTGCACTTCCCGTAAGGTCCCCGCTGTTCGGTCAGTTCGGCATCTCGGCACCCCCAGGTGTCCCTTGCGAGGCTGTTACTGCCAGCCTGGGCAGGGATGAGGACAGACAGACAGACAGACTCCCACCCCAGCCCAGCCGAGGGACACAGACACTCCGGCCCGCCAGGTCCCGTAGGGTTCTGCACTAAAACATGAGTTAGCATGGAAATGCACTGCCCGCCCCTTCGTACGTGTTGCCCTTTGCTGTACAAGCTGACGGAGATCAGCGAGTTGTCATTAAAGAGAGTGGCTGAACCTTGGCGTCCCTGGCGTTCTTGCGCATCCCGGACATCCCGGGGGCTGTCCCGGGCCGCCCCCCGCTCCGGGAGCCTTTCCCTGCCGGTCCCCTCCGGGTTTGTGTAGCTTTCCCATGCGTTCGGCATTCCCGTTTTGCCGCCTGCAAGCGGTGTTTGTATTTGAAGGATTTTTTTTAAATAGTATTAAAGCCGCTTTTGGAGGCTGGCAGAACCGCTAAGCACCGGCCCCTGTACCCGGGCTGGGATCGGGAGCGAGCCGATGGGGAGCGTGGGGCTGATTTAATCACTGCAAGGAGAGGTACCGACACCCCAAATAACCCAAAGCCTCCAAACTGCCCCCAGCGCGTCCGCGGGAGGTTTCCATGGAGAGAGACGCAAATGGCCCTAAAACTGTCCCCAAAGTGCCCCGGGACAGCGAGCTGGGCTCCCCAGCGCCCGGCTCCTGCCTCTCCTCTGCCTCAGCCCCAGCCCTTCGGCCGCTTTTACGGTAGTCGCTATCAAATGTCAATTATTGGGAGTGAGAAACAACAAACATTGTAATTCAGCGCAGTCACAACATCCTCTGAGAGTGTCTGAGGCTGTCCGGCCGGTGACAGCGCGATTAGGGGGACCTGCAACCCCTCCTGCCTCGGCCCTATCGGCCCCATCAGTAAACAGGGATGGAGACAGGGTGGCTGTGGCCCTGGGACAGAGGATGAAAGGCTGCCCGGGGAATGGAAGCTGCCTGCAGCCTCTCTCCCTCCCTCCCAAGCCCACACACACCCCTCGAGGTAGGATTGCACAGATAAGGAGCTCCCACCTCCTTCCAATCCCTGCGAACGCAAGAGGAGCTCTGGGTGCTGCCCACAAAGCCCCTAATGCAGTGTGGGGTGTAGACACCTGTCTGGGCTCAGGGCTGGGCAAACAGGGACCTTCAGCCTCATCCCGAGGGGAATTTGCCTCGGGGAACTCACCCCGGACAGCCAGAGGGACACGGGGTCTGTGACAAAGGGGAACAGAGCCTGGCAACCTGAAGCAAGGGGACAGGGCACCTGGGCAGGGCAGAGAAAAGCAAAGGCCACTTCCCCTCATTTGGAGCCATCCCCAAGGCTCCATGAGGGCTTTGTGTGTTAGGAGGACACAGGATCCGGATGGGAGAGAGGCAGATCAACCCCAAAATGCCCTGCCTGAGGAGAGCCAAGGGTGTCCCAAGAACTCCGGGAAAAGAGAATAGAGCGGGGCAGGGAAAGGCGGGTTTGAACTGGTGAGTGCTGGGGACAGTCACAGTTTGCCTGAGCTGTCAAATGGTCACAAGCAGTGCCGTGCCACTCCTGCAGGGCTCGGCCAGGGGCAGAGCACACAGGGAGCCCTCAGGAAAAGGACGAGTCTTGAGACAACATGAGGGCAGGCATTAAGGTTTAGCTAAAACTTGAACTTTCAGAATCTGGCCCTGAGCAAGGCCCTTCATTAAGCGGACAAACAAGACAGACAGCAATGAAACGTCAGGAAAAGCCACAGGAAAAAGTAACTCCCCACATCAACACAGAACCCTTCTCACACACTCCCAACATCCTTTCCTTTCCTCAGACCCCCTTATTTTCTTCAACCACGTTTATTTTCCTCCCACAATAACTCAGAGCTACAGCTACCAAGAAATCTGACTGTCCGGTGAGATTTTCCCTGCAGGGGCTGCTCTGGGCACCAGCTCTGGGTCTGATTTCCAGGGTTGCCCTGTGCTCATTCTCAGAGGGGATGAATGTCCCACAGCTCCTGCTCACACACTCCCCTCCTCCTGCGGGAATTGCATCACGAGCAGATGCAGGGCAGGACAAGCCGGGGGCTGGAGCAGCAGCCGGAGCCTTGGAGCCGGCTCAGAAAATGATTTTAGGCAGAGGACACGAGCACAGCTGGCGGGCAGCGCTGCCAGGGGCACCAGCAGACCTTCCATTAGCTGGATTAATGGGAAATGCGAGCAGATACGGGAGGAATGAACCCCCGCACACTGACACCGGCCAGGGGAGCTCCCTGTGCTCACAGACCCCATTTCTCCTATTCCTGCTCTCCAGCTCAGCCTCATTTCCAGCTGCAGCTCCGCAGGGTCAGGCGGGGGTAAAAGGTCCCCCCAGGACTTCCAAAAGCACCGGGGCTGTGCTGCTCTGAGCCCAGCCCTCGGAAAGGCTCAGAGAAACCGCACGGATCAAATCTGACCCGTTCCTGTCCGAGCCTGAAGGGTTTCCCATCTCTAGAGCAGCAAGAAAAAACCCTGAGTTTAGGAAAGGTTGCACAGAAGGAAGTGCAGGATCCTGGCGTTTCCCCAGGGAATCTGAAATCAGAGATCCTCCCAGAGCCCGAGGACATGCTAAGGAGTGTAGGAAAAAAAACCAACTTTTAATAAGATTTGCACTTGGATTTGATCTCGCACTTCCCTCAGATTTTTGGGGGATTACACAGACTGGCACTGGCATCGACGGCTCTGTTCAAACCCAGCTTTTTTTTTTTTTTTTTTTTGAGAATTCAGTGCCCCAGTACCTGAAGGTGACAGGGTAAGAGCAGCTCAGTCTCCTTGAGACAAACCGCACATGGCAAGTTTATCCGAACTCTTTGGAATTCGTACAATTTGTACAGGAAAAAGTTGTCAGCTGTAAGAGACTGATATCAAATCCCTCGCCTTTAGCAGTTTCGTAGGAACTGAAGTAATTGTTTTCCCCCCAAAAAACACCCGTGCAGTTCCTAAAGCGCCAGAATTTTATTCCTTAAGTTCAAGGAGTTTCCACATCGGAAGTTATTCTCTGGAGCCCGAAAACAAGATAGGTCCTGGCAGGAATTAAGTGTTTCAGTGTTCCTGAGAAGCTCGGCAGGAAAACAACAGATCAACAACCCTCTGTCCCCGGCCCCTAATTCATCTCACTGACATCAGTTTAGATCAGTATCAGCAGTAAGTGATTTCTTGTTAATGGGGATTATTAAGAAGAATCAACACCTTTAAAACGCCACTCCAAAGCGAGAAAGGGATGGGCTTTCTGGCTGGAGTCCGATTTTTCATTCCTGGCTGGTTTCTTATTGCCCAAAACACGAAATTAACGCTACATTTTGACGCAGAGAAGGGAAGTAGAGATTTCTCCCGGCAGATCAAGCGCTGGCAACGCATTTGTGAAAGTTCATCAATCAAGGTTTAGCGAAGTGACACGGAATACATTACTAGAACATCTCTACCTTTGTCCGCAGTCATTTTAAACCCTGCCACTCCAGCGTTTCATGCAGCAAGAAAAAGCCATTTAGAGACAAGATCACCCTGAGCCCATCAGCCACATTCCCCATTGTCCTGCACAGGCTGGAGCTGCTGAGATGAGTAAAAACAGGTGAGCTCTTCTGCCTTTGCATGAAGGAATTGCTGAAACTTCAAATGAAATATAAATTATTTCAATGGAGCCTGGACGAATATGCTGAGACAGAAAAATTCTTTCCCAGAAACCGAGCACCCAGGAAGAGAAATTCACATTTGAAGAGCAAAGGGTTTTTAGACCAGCTGTGTGTGAGCAGTTGGAGCACTGACCCCACTGAGACTGTAACACATCTCTTAAGTCATCCCTGCTTAAAATAACTTTTTTTTTTTGGAGTCAACAAAGAATCACGGTCAAATGGCTAAACCACAGGTTTAAGCCAGGAGATTGGGCATTTTTCCCAACCCTATTAGAGAGGGGCATCGTGTTTGCAGCAGGTTCAGCTCAGTCCTGCCCACTGTGAGCAGTCCAGGGGTTGTACCTGCTCGCTTTGGAGGGCTGGAAAAATAAGTTGTCCATAAAAAAACCTCCAAAACAACAAATCAAACAAACAAACAAACAAAAAAACCCCACACACAATAAAAAAACTCCCACAAAAAACAAAACTCAAAAAAACCCCCAAAAAATAAAAACCTCTTCTAAATGGGAATAAAATCTCTTAATGGTCAAAATAATTTTATTTCTTAGGGTTTGTTAGGATTAATTGCTCTTGGGGAGACATCCTGGAGCTAAATTATAGCTTGTGGAGATGAGCAAGCTGAAGGCATGAATGACACTGCTGTGGAGTGGGCAAGGCCAGGAGTTAGCAGGCTCAAACTGGGGGGAAGGAAAGATTTGTTGAGTATTTCAAATTGTGTGAACTGCTCCCAAAACTAGTTAGAAAGAAACAAAAGGATTTTAGAGTTTTAGTCCTAGAACCAACTAATCTGCTTGTTGAACAAGTTATTAAGCTGCACGGCTCTAAACACCTGCTCTCAAACATTTTCCAGGGGTTCTGTGCTTTTGGAGCAGGATTTGGTGCTCTCTGCTGCCACAAGAATACAGCAGAGTTCATTTT